GGGCTCTCATCTGCATACGACGCCGATCCGCCCGCTTTTCCGGATTTCGTCGGCACAGATAGGAGCGAGTTTTCTAACGTCGTGTCGTTCCTTTAGGTATCAGCGATCTGATACGCGATCACGACCGATATCGAAGTGCCATTAAGTAGAGCGCGGACGATATCGATCGAGAACGCGACATTTCCTTTTGCGGTCTGCGCGCGTGCAATTGCAGTTACATACTTTTACTTCCGTTCCGGGAATTGTAATGTTAAAAACGTTCAGAAAATTGAAAGATGTTATGCTAAAATTTAAATAATCCATTGATTCAAGGTACTTGATGGATCGACTGCTTAAAAAGAAGCACCTTCATTAAACATCTCAAACTAGTATCTATACCATTCATGTTTAATTATATTTATATCAATTAATGTCAATAATAAATTGGTACTATTTGCGCATGCAGATAATTTTTGTCGCGGAAAAATAAATTATATTTACAATGCAAAGTGTTTCACGTTGTCATCTAGTTTTGCGTAGCTCAACTCAATTTACTTTTAATTTTGTGGACTACTCATTTTTGCATAACATCATCCAATTATGCGCGAACAAGATTGCGTGATGCATCATTTGCATTCCGTAAAAAATAAAACGTGATACATTTGTTACTGTGCATTCTTTCCGCTAGTAGTAGCTCGTAAAATTTTTATCAAAATAGATTTCGAATTGATCGAGGAATTTATTAAAAAAGAATGCAGAGAAAATTATTGAGATTTTAATGCTGCAATATCTCAGTAGGAAAATATAATAAATTTTGTCGTTTTAAAATATTTCACAATTTTCATATATTGTTTATATATTTTTGTACAATTTTATGTTAAGTATTTCTTCGGTTATACTTTCGAAATCTTTATTTTGACAAATGCGTCACAAGAAGCAATACGAAATCGATTAGCATGTCATAATCATTCTTGCCGTTTGGTATTCTATACAACTAATCGGCTCGACGCAAGTTAGTGTAGACGCGGCTTATTAATCTCTCGTTGCATGCTCAGTGTGTTCGTGTTTCTTTTTTTTTATCAGAACAGTAACTTACGAGACGCAAGCATGCACACGGGTACACGGCGATCACATTCGGAGACGATCGATTTCTCCGACGAGGACGATTTGTCGAATGTCAACGTTAAGTCATTGGTAAGTTGCGTTGAAGCGCAATTGTCTGAAAACTAACAAGTTCGCGCCCAATAATTGAGGCGTTCTCCAATTCCTAACATTTACAACTCAATCTGGTTAACATCATGCATCTTGAAAATTAACTTTTGATATCAATGGACTCGTAATTCTGTTCAAATTTTGTCAAACGAAAAATCAGCTTAGAATTCGTCACATCTTTGACATTTGACGTTAACTTCACGAAACATTCTTGTGTGTTCTCTGTTCTGTTTTTCATTTCTTTTTTCATTTTCGTTTTTTTTTCATACCTCTCAGCCCATCTGTTCACGCGTGGCATTGAGATACGTTACATGAGAGAGAGATACAAGTACCATTTTCTAGCTTCATTTCTCAGTCGGCGGGATAAATAGACGCGGTTCGCGTGCATGAGATTTATCCTGGTGAGCCCCGCGGCCTCTCACCTCGTGATCTACTAGATGCGATTGCAGAGATAATGGCCAGCGCAGCTCTAAATAATTAGCGGCGGACGCAGCTGGCACACAATCGCTCCATTAAGCAATTAAAAAGTTACCTCCGCGCGCGGCGGCGCGCCGTCTGATTAAGCGCGCCGTCAAAATTATGTTGTCACTTTCGGGAATTGCGTGTGTAACTTCGCCGTAAGCGTGACCCAGTGTGAAACCGCGCTTTTGCACGAGTGGAGCGTAATGAGCTGAAATGACCGAGCATATTTTAAATCCTTTTTTACGGAGGGAAAAAGGCATATATTTCTCCGCGAAGTTAAATCGGGACGAAATGCATGGATGAACGATTGACATTAACATAGGTATAATTAATGTAACTTTTTTGTGAAAATATATCTGCCCGTGTAAAACCCCGTGATGAAGGTGCAAAACGAGTGTGCTAACACCGTTTGCCGCATGCACACTGACTCGCCTGCATTTTTGTTCCTCTTCTTTCTGCGCATGCAGACACAGAACTACGTCTCGGAGACGAGTCGCAACGATCAGGAGAAGCTGTGCCGGGAACGGATCGCGACCGGCGTGTCCATCAAGCAATTAGTAAGTAATAATTATACATTTGCATTTATAGCGAAATAGACATTCCGACGAAGACGCTCGCGCGAGATAAGCTAAGTCACTTTCGAGCGGGATAGGCACGAGAGAGCCTTTCTCCATAAATCGGAAAGGCCTCGTTTTATTTCGTCGATAAGAGCGATAATAATTTAACACGCTTTCGCCACAAATCTGCTTCGTTAATAGCTGATACATTTGTCAGATGTATTTTATTACTAACAGTGTCGCAGCTTTGGCGACATCTCGAACATGAGCGACGGCGATCAGGCGACTTTCGGAAAAGCGAACCACGCGATGGAAATCGAGGAGGTTTGTATAAATTTATGTTTTGTAATTCGTTAAATTATGTGCATCGGATGTCTCGTGTTCGTTTGTCTTGTCCGTTGCATTGGAAAATGAATATTTTGACACATGCAAATTTCGGCAAATTTATTTTTTTGACATTTTTTCACTAAAATAATTTTAAAATTACTTTTACTATTTATTGTTAAATAATTTACAAGACTAATCAGATTTTTTCAAAAGTTTTCAAAAAGTATTATGACAATATTATCGTGAAAAATAAAAGTCGTATTTTATCAATAAAAAAATATTTCCATAAATTTTCATTTTTTTTTTTTTTACATAATCGGTATCTTTTATTTATAAAGCAGATATTGACTTGCGCGACTTCTTTTACATAGTAACAAAGTAAAAATATTGCTGCATAGACAGAATTTGCAAGCATGTGAATGCTTATTAACGATGTTAGAAGTTAGTTTCTGGTATAATGTGTAGGACAGGAATGAGAAATATCTAACTTTCGTTATTGCATGAACTATTTTTGATATTTGCTTCAATATTGACGATAGTGTTATCCGAATTCCGAACAAATAATATGAACATCCTAATAATATACTAATTGCATCTCGAGCGTGAGTTCTGCGAAATAATTGCACAATCTACATCTTTTGAGAAACGTTGCATCAAAACACAGCTCTGTTGTACAAATTAATTCAAATATTATCAATATCAGATTCAAAAAATTATTTTTACTATATAAAATATTTTTATTGATAAATTTTCAAAAATTAAGTACTTTGGGCGTAAAATCTTTGCATCGGTTGCGATGCACATTTCGCAGAGCTCGCGTCTCTCACGACTCACCACTAATCTGAATTCTCGTTGACGCTCTCGCTCCCGATCGTAGAAAGCGAGATCGATGGGTGATCTGAGATTATGCGAGCGGGGTTACTCGAGATTCGCCAAAGACGCACCCGTCTTCACCGGGGTGTCGGTCAAGGCCCTCGTAAGTACCTTTCGTAAGACGACGCGGACAACATCGGAGTCGGTTGAACGATCGCGATAAGCGCGTATCCCGTAACGAAACTTGTATTTAATCGAAGTTTGCGATCAGGATTTCTATCCTGGGAGTAATGATCTACAAAGTCTCCCGCGGTGTAATTGTTTTATCTTACGGTACCCGGAGGCGGTCTATTATTTACTGTGCTTGTACTAATCGTGCACATAAGCGAATAAACGTTAGGAATACAGATAGCGTTCCACCAGCGTCGACTTCGCAATAACAATTATTTCCCGAGAAGTTAGAACTATTTCTTCCAATTAAAGCATATATTTTGATTTAAAAAAAATCATATTTTTTTAAGGAACAGAATTGACGCTGCTTTCACTCAATATAAATTTGTGAAATTGACTTCAACGCCACTTGTTTATCGGGATGAAATTTATCCTACTGTAATTTTGCTTTAGCCGGTTAAATTTAAAGCTTCGGTCGATTCGAGGAAGACTCGATTTACCTTCGAATACGCGAATGATTAGAAAGTGATCTGAAACAAAAGTTTCGGTAATATATATTTTCCTGAATGAGCACTCTCGGTCAAGTACATCGCTACGCGCTTCGAGAACTCGCATACACGCCGGAGTAGTTCACCGTCACGCTGCGAATGCCGTCTCTCCATTTATGGAAGGGCCGACTTGATAATAACCCACTACGTATTTGCCCTACTTCAGCCAACGGCGAGGAAACGCGGGGTATGGACTACAATTACGAGTTTTTGCCCCGTATCCACCCATTATCGGTTATCGAGATTTTGACGTGCGGTTTCGCTTCTGAGAACACCGAACGGGACACACGTGTCCCGTCGCAATTTCACAGATGGTTCCTCTTACGTTTCCTGTCATGAGTTCAAATAAGGAGAGGAAAGCGGGAAAAGCGGGTCAAACTTCTTCACGAATCGCGAATTGATACGCAGCTATAATAAGATCACAACGTCACAAAACCGATAAAATCGTCTTTTTCAATTATAAAATTGAAAAACAAGCTAGTTGTGATTGCTTCGCATTGAATAAGCAATTAAAAATAAGTGTAAACAAATATTTTAATAAAGATACAGTTAAATTTTTGAAACATGAGAAAAATATGTAAAATGACGATGCTTAAAATATGACAATTTTTATCTGTCAATTAATTTTTATTCGTCAACTTTTACCGCAACGTGATCTGACGATTTTTGTTTCTTATTTAAAAATCACGCAGCTGATGACGTTTGATTTAAGATCCTTTTTATCTTCATAAAGAAAAAAAAATATCCTATTAGCGATGCATCCGTGTTAAAAGGTGGCTAATGTCAATCCATTAAGCGTTCGCAATCATATCGCTACTAAAGAGATGTATATGATAATATCTAACGGTGCCGAAAGCAAAGTCAATTCGAGATAAAGAGCGAATTCGTGACGAGGAATAATCACCCGACGCGATTCGATGGATGTTCTATACTACTCCTAATGTTGTCCTTTGTCGTTCGTTTTGTTCGTCCTCTTTCCTCCTGTCGTTCGATGCAGCAGTTGGCAAAGCTTCGATCAGCGATTAAAATGTCCCGCACATATACCGGGCGAGCCAGAAGTATTCGCGTATTTTGTAAAAATGTAGTATTCTCGCAATAAAAATACAATGTTCATAAAATAAATATCTCTAATTTTACATCACTGCGCATGACACATCGGCCAACAGTTCTTCACGCAAAATTGCCATCTCCGTTGCCTCAAGGACGTAATACATACATTTTATTGGATAAATACTCGGTGGAAAATATATGTTTAGAAAAAAAATACTCTCGGACGTAAATATTAGCGAAGGCTCGAGCACCGTCGCCGTCTCTGATGACGACACATCGCGCATACGTGTCCTCGAACGCGTGAAAGATCTTACCCGCAAATTGCGTTGAAATTTCCGGCCGCGTTGACGATACCAGAACCGTACGATCGTCACGAGCCCGCTAACTGCCGCATCCCAAGACAGTAACCAAATACCGCAACTCGTCCGCTTTTTTTATATGTTCGTTTTTACACTAACCCGCGGCCTGTTTCTTCTCTTTGTTGCTCGACGCTACCTCCTCCCGGCATGCGAAACCTTAATTGTCAAACATTGAAACCGACACCCGGGCGACAGAGGGCTTCCTACTGTAGTTTGGCAAGCTTAACGAGCGAGGGTAAGGACAAGGACCGGGCATGCGAGAGGCCGAAGCTCGAGGTAAGACCGAGATAACGCGCGATACGTCGGCTCGTACAGAGGTTTGACTTGACCCGAATTTTTTTGATCGCCTTTTTGCTACCTTCAGGAAGAAAGAAAAATACGTACGCTTTGCTTTCTTGCCCTGCGATTGATTTTCTTGCTTTCAGACCTTTGTACGACTTGGAAAATGAACGTCACCCTTGTGCAGATCGGAAATCGCAACGCGCAGAAGCTAATGCAGTTTATAATATATTGGCATATTTTGAACAGTCGGTCTTCACTTAAAATTATTTTTTGGAATAATTACAATTGTGAAATCATATTATCTGAACTACTTAATAATTTTGCCAAATAAATTTCAGCGGTTTAATAATTTTACACGCACAATCTCCATTTGTGCACAATGGTGACTCTTTGAATTTGCTTATTTTCTCCCTAATAACTACTTTTCTCCTTGCATAGTTATTTTGAGAATGATAAACGGATGCAGAAGATAAAATTTTCCTATTCAGTTAACGATATCTTAGAAGGGCGAAATGTTTCTTCGCGTTTCTTTTTCTCCTCTTCCTTTCTTAGTTCTTTCATTCATAGTGCTTATCATCTAACACGAATAACATTTGTATTTTCAGAAATCGAGCTTTAACAAATTCGATGCTCTCACCAAGAAGACAGTTCTGCATGTGCGTTCGGTTGACGCGGCAAAAGTGCAACAACAGCTAAATGCCGTGAGTCTTCATTATTTATTTCATATTAACTTCCTAAAATTTATTGCCAATATTTTTAACACATTCATACACATTTTTAAAACTAGTTTAAAATTAAATATATGTTTAAAAAATGTTTAAAAAAAAATGTCTTATGTAGATACATAATTATGACTTTAACAAAATTATGAGAAATTATTTTATATGAAAAGTTATGTAAAAAATGATTGTTTGTGCAGCAACGCGATTGCTGTTGAGCTCGAAACTTCACTTCAACGCACATTTAACCGAGACAAACCTAGAAAATCACCTGCTCGCTTCCCCTAAGAGCATAGAGAGTGAAAGTCGTAAAGCTGCTAATTAATTCGTATGATTATGCATTGCAGGTGGGTCAGAATAGCGAAGCGAATACGAATTGTCGCAGCTGCGGCAAGGTCGTGTTCCAAATGGAGCAGACAAAGGCCGAGGGACTGGTCTGGCACAAGAATTGCTTCCGGTGCGTGCAGTGCAGCAAGCAGCTTAACGTGGACAATTACGAGAGCCACGAGAGTACGCTGTACTGTAAGCCACACTTCAAGGAGCTCTTCCAACCGAAACCGGTCGAAGAGTCCGACCAGCCCGGTAAGATGATTACCGTCGCGCGCAATACCGCCGCGCGGCCGCTAATCTACTTAAACGGATCGTCTTTTACGAATTACTCGTTAAATCTTAACGCATGTACTTAACGACCGACGTCGATTCCGTCGTCGATTCTATCTCGCCGCTAATCTCTCCGGCCGGGACGGACTTTGTGCGGTTGAGGCGAGCCTCAATTCCCGGTTGGAGAGCATCAAACGAGCATAAACATGTGAAATACGATTTGACAGGGAAATTGGCAGAGATAAAATTCATTTTCGTGTCGGTCGTAAATTTTTTTCACGCTATTATTAGCGGCGTGCTCGATTAATTCCAGTCACTCGTTACATTCCGCGATTACCTGTACGAATCTGCGTCTCTTTTGTTTCTTTAAGCAAATAATATGATTTAGGTTAAAGAAAATTGTGTGGAACTACATATATACAATTGGAGACGAGACTGCATTTTCTTCATATAGAGAAAACAGAAAGAAAGCTCTATGCGATGAAGATAATATTAGATTGTTGCAAAAGATTGATCGTGTTTTGTCAAATAAAAAATTAAAGACAAAATTGCAGAGTTTCAGATAAATTTTTATGAATTGAATAGTAATTGACTTCAATACATTTTTTTCATCTGGAAACAAATTTTTGTTCAATTTAAAAAACTGGGAATTTTTAGCATGAAAATCGTTAACCTCTTTAAAATAGAAACCTTTAGCGAGAAGCAGCAAAACTTTTGCACCAACCTAATAGTTTGTTTTAATACGCCGGCGTGTAACTTGGGGGGTCTTCGGTACACCGTCGTTTAAGACCCATTTTCTTAAACGCTTAGCACAGAGGCTAAAATTATAGCTCTCTTTGCTCTCTCTCTCCCCCGTATAATTATACGTAAGCGTGCTCGCGAGAGGGGTATCGTTAATGCGACAAAGAATTGTCTTGTGAACTCCGCAGTGCGACCTCGAAAGCCGGAGCTGATCATACGGGAGAACGAGCCGAAAGAATTGCCGCCCGATGTGGTCAGAGGTAACGTTCGACATGTGTGAGTGGCGTGGCTACGCGAACCTGGAGAGATTGTTCTTAACTTGTTGTGTGTCCGTTTTAGCGAGTGGCTTTTTAACTCGTTAATTGGCTGCTGATCGAAAATTTATCTGTGCATCGAATCACGTCACATGTCTCACGATCGACGTATCGATTAATAAAACGCGGAGCGTAAATCGTTATTTTACGCTGGGCGTTTCATTGATCGACATATTTTATCGGTACAACGAGATGATATATTTATTTATGTAGTTCACAAAATCGTGAAGTAACTTATTAATCCCGCATTTTTTTTTTTCAATTAATTTCTTGCATGAGAGAAATATTGTTTCGTTGGGAAAATAACATTGTTAACAATTGCACACATTGAACTCATTCATACAAAATTATCTTCGATACCTGTTCTATATATTTTGATATTGCTTTATACATATTAATATAGCTTTTTTTTTAATACAAATTAATAATATTTTAATATCTTGTTCACGTACTCACATATATATTTCTTTCACTTCATTTTACAACGTTTTTTATCATCTAATATATGTAGAGAAATCATATATCTGCAAAATAAACTAAAACAAGTAGATGCATCAACTTTTTCACTTATGCGGGCGAACATCCATCAATAGTTCGTGTGAAACAAACAGGCGGATAATATCTCGTAGATATGCAGTGCAATATCGACGAGAACGTAAAACTTTACTTGAAGCGTAACACGATCAATGTTAGAAACCATATCTCGTGTTTGACTACACTATCATATCGACGAGACTCTATCTGGTTCGATAATGCGAATGAATCTTTCAATGAGATTTCATCTTCGACGTTTTGAAAAATTTTATATTGAGTATACAACTTTGCCTTCTTTACATATCGCCGTTTTCTTGTAGCAGTCTAACAAATTTACCATCGAAAAAAGTGTATTCGGATATTTGAATAGCGCCGGTAGAATCGCGAAGAGAAAAGTAAAGAGATATCTTTTTGATATTTCAGCTTCCGACAAACCCGACTTGGGACTTGAGGAACTCTCGAGCTTAAACGTCAAGTCGCGCTTCCAAGTTTTCGAGAAAGCTAGCATGGAGAACTCAAATGATATCGAGAGATCGCCGTCGCAGATCGCCGTCAAGAGATCGCCCAGCATCCTCAGCAAACTGGCCAAGTGAGTAATTAATGACAAATCCTTTACGCAGTGGAAAAAATATCATGAAAAATCGATGCGCGATATTTGAGATATCTGCAAAATTTATACAAATTTGTATGCAATTTCACATTACACCGGTATATTAGCTAGTAATTCAAATTGCGCCTCTCTTCAACAATACACAGCTTTCCCAGTGGCGATAATTTTAATTCGCGATATCTTACCGTGACACAGATTCTCTTCTGTAGAATGCACAATAATGAGTCTGTAATTTCGTTAAGCTGACGTTTCTCAATTATAACAAAGCTCGCAATTACTCCATTATTTTTGCATAAATAATTAAAATAATAATTTCAACACTAATAAAGAATTAATAATTAACATCGATAAAGAAAAAATATCTATTACGCTCATAATGACAATCGCAATTTCCTCGTAAATTAACAAATTAGAATTTTTGGAAATGTTAGTATATTTAGAGATTTCAAGATTTATCGAAACGCCAACTTTTCATCTCTGATTACAATATCGAAATAACAACATCGAATTACAGCATTGAACAATCTCAATGCTGAAAATTTTATTTTATATTTTATTTTACTGAGTCAGTAGACTTTGTGGCAATACTTCTTGCGCTACTCAGCAGTCAGCAGTTTTCTTCTTTGTAATTTGAATCCTGAGAAAACATATGAAGTAAACATGTTACAAGTGTAGAGAAGCCGACCGATAATCATTCATGCGGAATGTCCGTAATCACTACGTACGTTTTCTCATTCAGATTCCAGGCCAAAGGCATGGATATCGGCGTGGCGGATGAATCTCTCAATGGCATACCCTACGAGGAATCCAGCGAAAGTGAAGATGAAGTGGAAACGGAGGAAACCGAAGGTAAGTAAATGAGAACATATTTATAATACGAGAAAAGGGAAAACGCGATAAAAATGTGAAATCGCAGATTTAGCAAATATAAATTTCTCACTAGAAAATTTAAACTTTTTTTTTCACTATATTTCTTATGTGTTAAATGTGCTAATTTTAAAACTATTTTTTTTTAATTTTAGAACTGGAGACCGAAATCATAAAATCGAAACGCACCACGCGCGAGCGTCCGATTAGTTTCTCGAAAATGGACGATATCAAAAATCGTTGGGAGTCGACCAGTCAACAAGGAAGGCGCGAGATTCAACGCGAAGCTAGGAAGGAAGAAATCGCAGGAATTCGTTCGCGATTGTTCATGGTAATTTAGTAAACTGATAAGAGACGAGTGCGAGCTTTGTTGCAATTATTTCGTTAAAGAAAGAATTTATAATTATTACAATTGTTTTGTTGTTGATGTGGACATTTGTATACGTAAAATTATACTATTTTCTTAATATCGTAAAAATGAAACTAGAAAACAACTACACACATTTCTTTCGCATTTTGTTCGCAATTTTTTCTTCCTAAGAAAAGAAAGCTTTTAAGAAAAGATAAAACCACCACGCCGCACTAACACGCAATCTTTTCTCAACACCGCATCTTGCTAATGTGTTATTAATTCCTTAATGTCTCCTTTTTGCTGGCTTTATAGGGTAAACAGGGTAAGATGAAGGAGATGTACCAGCAGGCGGTAGCCGGAAGCGACCGCGTTACAAAGATAAATGCAGCAGAGGAGATCCAGCACTCGACTGCCCACGCTCGCTCCATCAAAGAGAGATTCGAACGGGGTGAGCCAATTGCAGCCTCGGACGACGAAACCGACAGTAAACCGAAACCGGAGAAAGCCGACGAGGAGGTGATTGCAGCAGGTACGAATTGGTAACTTTCAGTAATTAAGTGACTTGCGAAAAGGCACAAGTGTCGAAAAGGTAACTTCAAACGGACTGGAGACATAATTTGAACGATTCAATTGAAAGTACTGCAATTATGAACGCAAAAAGAAAAATATGATAATTCTGGAATTACGTGCACGAAAGCAAATCTCTATTTGCAATGGAAAATGCGAAAAGTCTTTTGGCACTTGTATTGTTCCACATTTTACAACGAACTTATCAGTAATTGCGGATAGAAGTGAAAACGAATCAATGTTCCTGAGTTAAATTAATATCTATTGTTCTACCGTTGAATTACCATCGAGAATTAAGGGAAAAAACTCAAAAGAAAGCAATCTGGTATTGTTTTATACGCACGAGACATTCAGTATGAAAAAAAAAAACTCTATAGAATAAGAGACTGCGTGTTAAAGAGGCCGTATTAATATTCAGCGGGTTTATGAGAGATTTTTTGCCCTGGACGAAAAGATATATCATTGTGTTGTCGATACATGCGGGGTGAAAGTATTCGCAATGCTAATTGACAGTTTAAAGTGCCGATGATTTATGATAATCTATATTGGTCCCGCTATATAGGTATCAGCAGAAAATCGCGATCGCTCTTTTTGGAGCTGGACGCCTCTGCAGCGAAGACAGGACGTCCAGTAACGCCAGTGCAACCGAAAACACCGACCGAAACCTCACGGCGCGCACGAGACGTAAGTTCAAGCTTTTTTTTATTTATTATCTGATCGAGCCGCACCCACAGTTTGCTTTCATCGTGGACACATCGATCGACTTGTCTGCTGAAATTACGAATTTGCTATTTTTCACATATAATTTATATTTTTACATTAATTACATTCGAATTTTAATTTAATTTCTCTATTCAAAAAGATATTGGAAAATATTTTTTGTTTTATTATATGTCAGATTATTCACGATGCGATATTATATCGCTTAATTTAAAATTCAAAGCAAAAAGCGCATCAAGGTAAAAAATCTTATTTAAGAGAAAAGTATTTCGTCTTTGAACGAGAAATGTTAAGCGTGAAAAATTTTGCAAAATGCAAAGCTTGGTTTATCCAGTAATGGTAATTCTCAAAACATTTGCGGAAAAGGCATTTATGGGTCGTCAAGTCTCAGACGATGTGGTACGCAGCTCGGATACGGCCGAGGAGATTCACGTAGAAACGTCGGAAATTACGAACAAGTTCAAATTCTTCGAGACTTACAAGGAACCGGAGAAACAGCGGAAGCAGTTTCGAATCACGCCGCCTCGCGATGGTCAAGTCAAGGTTCGATCCTTTGACTTTGTTGATTGATTTATGTTTCTGTGTAATTTAATCTAACAACCGTGTGATCAGCGCGTGTTGACTAATTAAATAGCCGTGATTTGAAATCTCGGTGAAATGCGATTTAACATAAAAACTTACTGCTGGCATTAAAAAACGTAGATAGAAATGATTCATTAATACAGAAAGTGTAATTTAATCTCTAACTGATTGCATTTTACGCTAGCAACGAATAGACGTGTACTATATTTTCAGAGACAATGCCTTTAACAATCTAGCTATCTACTTGCTATAGAATCAACTTTTATACAGTTTTTTAAACAGTTATACATTTTGAATGCAGCTTTTATCGATGATATTATTAGTTATTTGATAAAGACCTTTCGGTTATCGATAAAGCGGCGATAAAGACTAAATTCGCATTGCAACACAAGATATTAGTTTCCCAAGAAATGGCGTGATCTCATTTCCAATTAAGATAGGAGAAATGTTCGCAATTGTGCGCATTTGCCCGTTTCGTATTGCATCACGCCTTTATCCACTTGCAGTTTTATGGGCATTTAATCATTCTGTCTGATACTAATGTGGTTTTATTACTTTCCTCAATTATGGCTGTTCGCAATAAATAACAATCACTGCTTAACAAAACTGCACAAAAATTTCTCTAATAAAACATTCGTCCAAATTCACAAAAAAAAATTGAGATCGGAAACATTTAATACATGAATAAAAAATAGGATCTCTTATTAAACATAAAAAAATAGTCCACTAAATAGTTTCCTTTGGAGAAAGAAAAATTAATAACAAAATTTTCCAAATTACTTATTTTATGAATGATATTTCCAATATTTTTCAATGGAAAAGATTTCGCTTGGAAAATGTTTAAAAAATTCAACTTTCAGTATTTTTCCGATGGATAAAATATCTATCCGCAATTTAAGGGGTAAAATTCCAATTACTTGCCACCTAAAAACAGTAACTGAAACTTTTTCCTCTTTTACTCACCAATATATCCCCGGCGTGGGATACATGTCTATCGATAATTATCGAAGCGCGATAACAAGTCCCGCCGTCGTTCGCGGACGCAGCTTATAAAAGGGTCCGTGCACACACAGTGGCGAGAGAGTTGACTCCGACAAACCGGACTGTCCTTGAACCCCCCCGGAGCGGCCGGCGCAGCAGCGGCCATACTTTTACCGTTAGTATTCCTACATCCTTCCATTCGTGAAGAGCCGAGCGAGGAGCAGACCGGGGATCGGCGGGCCCCGAGAATCTAACCGAGGGAAGGCGCACCACCATCGCGCGCGACGCGGGCCCTCCCAGTAACTCACACACCGAGGGGAGGAATACACACCGCCGGTCCGTATCCTCGTCGTGCGAACGGCATAGCAACCGGCGGCCCGCCGTCGTCGAACAGCAACCGGCTGTCGCGCGCCGTCCGCACGAACTTCTCACGAACCGGAGAAAGAGGGACCCTCGAGTGCGTGCCGAAGTGACGCGGACGGGACTCGCGGCAGTTTAAGTGACGACGCTCAGTCGCGATCCGCTCGCCGCGAAGGAGCTTTAATAACGGAAATTTAATTACGGGAAAAGGTAATTATCGGCCCGGCGTGCGCGCCCCAGTCAATCATTGTTCCGTAATCGCGATTAAATTGTCAGGTGTGCTGTACTTTTCGCACATACTACTCGAGATTACTCGGTATTGAGCATCGCTCGGTGTTTGAGCGATGCATCTTGAAAAAGTGACGCGGAAGAATCCCCAATTGACAAGCTGACGGATAATTAATGCTCCGGCGAACGCTTCGATTGACGGCATTCCGGCAATCGCGATCGATTCACGTACTTTCGGCAAGATGATCGATGCTTAATATTCGGGTCTGGTTGATTAAAAATTGTTTCGTGCTTGTGAGTGACCTATTTGCTAAGGACGACGCCGAAATTTTTTTTATAATTAATTGAAAAATAATCATCGACCTGATAACGCGTTTTGCAGTTGCAACAAAATTTTTCGGAATAGTGTTTGGAATTTAAAAAAATTTTGAAGTATAAATTATATTTTACGGACACACATTTTACTTGCTAAAAAAATCTAAATTGTTGATGTCAAAGTTTCAATTATTTCAAGGTGTTATTAAGGCGCGATTGAATTTTTCGGAATTAAAATGACGCATTTTAATATCCGGCCTACTTTTACTAAACATTTCCCGGTATTTAAGTTTTTTCAGTTGCTATTTATAGCAGATTATTCAGATCGAAAGCAATTAACCGTCGATCCGCCAATTAATTGCATTATGCATTCACGCTCATTTACATATTGACAAGATACACGATTGGTTTTTCTAAATACTTTAAATACGGTTAGTGTGTATTTGGTATGCGAGATCTTTCCAATTATAGGTTGTTCTCTAAAGTGTTCTCGAGCGATACATTTTGACGCGTTCACAAAAGAAGTGAAAATTGCGTGCGACTTTCTTATGAAAGTTTCAATTACCTTGAAGCATTTAGATAGAATAATTAATATGTGCAAAATAGTTGTGTTTCCATCGAATTGTTGGTTGTTCTAATTGCTCTCTGAAGTATACAATCAGGGTCTTTTTCTGACTTTATCGTGCGACCATAAGAGCGTTTCCGTTGATGGTAATCTGTGAAGGAGCGGACGTCGCTCGGGGCGCAATCTCGTCGCGGCTTGATTTGCCGCTTGACGTGTCGGCAGAGGGATACCGTGTGATCAAATATCCTTTCTGGACTGCTGATTTTATGGAATTCTGCTGGAAGTACGCTCTCGTAGCTTCTCCCGACATTCCATTACTCCAGCACGAAAGTTAAAGTAGCGCGAAAAATTATCCGTTTCTTTTACTTTTTGTATCGTGACTAAAAAAAATCTTTTATTTATTAACACACAAATTTGAATTGAAAAATAGATAATAAAATAATTCTTTCGTGTGACGGAATTTCCTGAATTCCGAGCAAAATATGATAAATACGATTTTCTTATGCAACCCAAGAAACATAGATCGGGAATTATTGATCTTTCATTTCCTGTCGCTTTTCGCTAAAAATTCACGCTGGATTGATTCGAATTTATAAATATCCCCATCGTCAATAAGATTATTCAGAATTCTTATTCAAAATTTGTATTCAGGATTCCTATCTACGATTTCATAATGATAAGACATTTTTTAATTGATGATACGATTATGCAATCTTTCTCTGCATACATTCACAAAAAATTTCCAGTCATTTATTCCTCTAATTACTTTAATTAGTTCCTCCTAACTGTAATATATTCATTTCAACAAGTATTGAAGACTTTATTCTTCGCTGCTGTCTAAACGAATCACGCATCGTGCTTTTCATCGTAGAGCAAAACCCGTCAATATAAACGAAAGCAAGAAGCGAATAGATAAATCATCGCAAGTGACGACAATTGACTATTCCAGATCGCGGCTCTTGAACATGTCAATCGTCATTTAAAATGTCAACCTTGAAGCGGCCCGCAGCCCTTTTGCCAGATTAAGCCGACGATTTGGCGGCGGTACCGTTCCCGATGGAACGTGAATTGATCGTGAGGGTGGTTGTTTTGAAATGTCATAAGTTTCGAGCAACCTTCAATCGTTCTGCGTCATCAGATTCCCAGCCTTACCTGACTGTCTCAGGCTCAGGTATAAGCGCGCACGGGTCGAAAAGGGCTAACCCTCAGAACTCGCAAAGAAACAGTTTCGATTCACAATAGGAATTCCATTTGATATTGCGGTGTCGTTGCTAAAACTTTCAAGCATGCGAATGTCTGGCTGTTAGTGTGCGTTGCATGATTTCTTCTTCAAATTGAATTTTTTAGAAGCATGTGAATTTTCCTTAAAGTTTCTGTTTGTGCGCAATTGAATTTATTTATATAACATACTTTTTCTTAATATTATATTTGAATTTTACTACATTTCCTCCCTTTTGAATATTATTTAATTTATTGTCTTTGACGACTTTCCTAACTTTGTTGCATTATATTAAATGTGTATTATACTATATTATATTCATATACTTAAGCCTTCAGAATAAGCCTTCGTTTAAAAAAAACCTGTATTCTTCCCACGAAATTTATTGCCGTGTACCACCCACGCTTGAATCCCTAAAGCTGATTCACGCCGGATACGGTTAAAAGGAACATTTCGGTCGTCGATCTCCAGCTTACCTGGATCTCCGACGATGCATCATGGCTTAAAAATTCGGCTTAAACTTATCGCGTGATAAAATGAACAATATATACGAGCTCGTGTTCTTTTCAATCAACTCGTCCTTGCCACGAGTAACTTCTCTACGAATTTTAGAGCAACAATCGCGCGAATAAAAAACGATGAATCATGAATACATAATCTACTGATATCAACGCTTTGGCAAATTCTTTAAAACATGAAACAAATTCATGAAAATACATTACATAATTAATATAAAAGTATTGCGCACATTGATTATAAATAAATCATTAGTGTAAATAATTAGCTAGATAATATATCAGATAAGATATTTTTCTATAATTTAACATTTTTCCTCAAGATTATTTTCATAATATAGATACTTACAAACAAAATTTTGATTTTTGATTTACCGATTTTGAGCGATAAAAATAATTAAACATTATCGAAAATAAAAAAATAATAAAAAAGATAGTCAAAATAAAAATAGTATCAAAATTAATATAATATTATTTCTTATATATTTATTATTTTCTTTTTTGAACAACAAAATTCAAAAAAACAATCTCTTTAAAAACAACAATTTATATGCAGTAAAAGCATGATTCAAAATTTATCGAAGAATTTGCCAGTTAGAAATACATCCTTTTATCAAAAAATCAACACATCTGTGAAAATAAAAGACATTATCTGATTGTGAGACATCAGACATAGTACGTCTGTCGTTTTCTTGTGCAGAAATGATAATGGTTGTGCGATTATAAAGTAAGCAATAAAATAACTGGAAAATATTGAATTAATTAATTAACATTAATTCGACTAATTATCTTTACATCTAAAAACTTAAAAAAAAAAACTGTTTTCTTTCAATTTGAAACAAATGAATAATGAAAACTATAAGTCTTGTAGGACCTTCTGAAATAAATTATTCAAAATATAAGAAAAATTAAGATTACTTTATTAGTTATGAAAATAGGATGATCAAGTTATACGATTCGAGCCTTATTCAATTATTATGTCAATATATATTATTTTTTCCTTAACAATTGGACAGATGGATTCACCAGATCGAGAAATCTACCGCGATCCCGACGTGGTCAGAGCCGACGACAGAGTGAACGAGGTAGTGCACACGGACACGGCGAGGAAGATGCTGTCCATCTTCCGACAAATGGAGGAAAACGCGAGCAAGGAAGAATTGCCGGAGGGCCCGAAACCCCTAAAGCGCTTCACGCCGCCTCCCGAAGACAAGTACGCCAAGGCGACGGCCTCGGACTCGGAAGAGGACGAGGAAGAAGAGGGCGAGGAGTCCGACGGTGACGACAGTGCCGAGGAAAGAGATCCCAACTACGTCCGCAGCTCAGATAAGGTAAGATTTATGTCGAATATTTTGGGATCAAGCTTATCGATAAAATGGAACCGAGATACAAATGAAAAGCTGTTGCTTAACATATGATACTGGGATGAGTACGATTTATTTACTGGAATTATAAAATTCCTCAAGTTTCCTTTTTACTTCTTTCTGAAATCTTCCCTTCGTCTTAAATATATACAATTCCTCCGCGTCTTAATTACCGAATGAATTAAGATCTAACACTCTAAAAGTGGCCAGAGTGGCCGGCTTGTCCGAACGTGTTGTCATTGCAGCATTAAGAAATTAGCGCGAACTTCTTTTCGGGCAAACCGATATTTCAGATTTCGTAGTTTCGCGAAAGTAGGCTTGTTGGCACGTACCACCCTGTAATCTACGGCCTTCTCCCGTCTGTTGTCCACCTAGGTCGAGGACGAGTTCTTGAAACAGGCGCAGAACGCAGCGCGCGCCAAGACTCTACGCGCTAAGTTCGAGCACTGGGAGGAGACCGACGGCAAAGTCAGCAATCACCACATCGCCGAAATAGAGATGGCTCAAGGCACGGGCGATCAGTCGAGCATAGAATCTGCGAGCAGTCTGAGGGCTCGTTTCGAGTCCCTCGGCTCGCAGACCAACGAATCCCCGCGCGCACCGAAGGTCAAAGTCAATCGATTTGTGGTGAGTACAGCATTATGTTCGTTATAATCGCACTTTCATTCTTCATTCGATAAATATACTTCAACACCATATTACGACCTGTTCATATAGTTATTATTATTTTCCTTGCATCCACTAATTTTATATATACATCACTCGTTTTAATTCGTCTTAATTCGTCATTTACCGATGTAATTAATTAAGGAGACGTTTTGGAGAACTTTGATCCCTTTTTTTTTTTTAACAACAACATTTCCATCAAATTTTTCCTTTTTCGTTTGTAAACAACTCGGCATTATAAAGTATGCGCATGGTGTGATTTGTAATTATCGTCTGCCTGTTTTATCCATTTTCAATTTATATGTTAGAATGATAAGTATGGTTTTATTCTACAAGCAGTGTGTATATTGTGTCAAAATTTTAGAAGAAATCTAATATTTTAGATACACGTTTTTAATAGACGTTTCGTTTTGAGTAATAAATTGCAATATTTCCAATATGTTTTGACGCAACTCGAGCACTGCTTGAAAGCACGACCGAATTTTTAATTTATTTTATTTTATGTGCTCCGTTTTCTATACATATAATGAGAATTTAATTTTGCACTTTTTATTGGCGACACATATATGTATATTTTGTAATGAGAACTAATCGCTTATAATCACTTAATCCGCTAATTCTACGTTTTGTACAGTGGATTTTGCGAATGTAATATGTCCATTATGAAAATATATGAAAATATGTCCGTTTGCTCGCTGTTATCAAAATTTTCTATAACTTTTTTTCGCATGAAAAATCAATAATCTTAATTGTTTTTTTTATGATATAATATAATGTCCAGTTAAAATTAAGATATATTATACAGATTTGTTATATATTCGCGAAAGCTAAATTTTAATATTAGCTAATATTTTTAAGCTATTTATTCGCTTAGCTTTAAATATCTGCATATATTATCTTTAAATATTTGTTTATATTAAATGGCAAGAACTGCGAACGTGTGCTATATTTTGGAGCAATAATAATATCTTAATAAACATTATTTATATTGTTTAAGCAATGAATACTATCAAATTCATTACTCGAATTCTTAAACCATTTCTATTTTCATAGAAACATATTTCTAATATGTAAAATATGTAATATAGAAAATTTTATATTCAAACTTACCCGTTTACGTGATGAGAATTTAATCCTTTATTGCTTGCAAGAAATGAGCGCACATAACGTAGAAACTTCAATTCCGCATCTAAAAGTGAAAAAATAATTCAATTAGTTTAATAAAAATACAAAATTTACGCAGTTGGATGAAATTTTTAGGGAATATGTGTTGTAAAACTCCAAATGTGCGAGCGTCGACGATTTAACCACTTTTATTCCTTTCGTTGATTATTGTCGAGCATGATCGATGTGATTATTTTTTAATTTTGCGTTATTGTTCTTATATTGTTCTTTTTTTTGTTTCGTTTAAAATCTGCCTGCGACATTTTAATCGAATCCTGCCCGCTTGTGTCGTGTGGTATCATAAAGAAAAAATTATCACAAGCAATGTCAAATTATCTTCTTTTTGTGACGCGATGCAGTAAGGGAGAGAGACCGAAGATATGCGGCTGGATTAAATCGATTGCGAGGAGGGGAGAGAGAAGGAGAAGAATCGACGGAAGGAAGGAGAGCGTCGGCAACACAACTGCGATGGTAAAAAGTTTTTTTTTTTTAAATCTCGTGCATTGCGCAATAATGTTCGGTTATCGTCAATTACTGTAACGATCTTGTGTTTTTCTTAGGGAGATTGGGTTTTAACCACGCCGAGCGTTACGTTCTCGTGTAGCGAATCTAGCCCGTAGACTGTACCATATGTTATGCGTTAATATATTATTACACTATGAAAGTCTGCGCAACTCCGGATCCGTCGAGCGTTTCATTCAATCGCCAATTAGATACGAAGAAGTACGTCAGCGGAAAAAAAGAAAAACAATCCAAGGCAGATGGCTGTAAAGCGCGCGAGGCAGCAATACGCTGAGTCACGTAAGAAAGGCGTGCGAGAAATTCAGTACATCTGTATCGCAAATCCGATTATAGTGCTGTCGAAAAATTTATAATCCATCTATTAATCATTATTTTATATAAAATCTATATATTAGAAGAAGGAAACTTGGACGGTTTCAAAATTTTAATGAGAGAAAGAGAGAGAGAGAAAGTCATATAATTTTTAATATTTTACAGAGTATTTAATATTTTTGTCTAATTGAATAATATTTTTATTTTATCAAGAGATCGCGCAAATATATTTGTTACGCGGAAACGCTCGACATCTTATCTTAATATATATATTTATAACAAAGAGAAAAACCTTGTTTACTAATTTACTTTATATAAAAAAGACGAGCGCCCATCTGCGTCATAGGTACGTCGGTTACACAGCTTCATTATCATCAAAATTCTATTAGACACGTGTGACCGACATACCAACATGAAGCACGATGGATTCGCTCCTAAGTAGTGAAATTCGTAACGATGCGGACTCAGTCAGCCATAACTTAACGGTGATCCATTAAAACATCTTCATAATTAATCAAAAGTTCAAATGTAATCGCGTGAGCGATTATGTGATTAATCATTTTTATATAGCAATTCTTATTCGGGACAGAGGAGTCACGATGATTTTACAAAGTATCAAATTTTGTTGAATACATTCAACTTTCAACATAACGATTTTTCTCGGAACGGATTTTAACTCTTCTTGACACAATCATTGAATGTTACAATATAACGTGCCTTTGTGATTTCTTTGATAAATCATCCACTATTTAGAGTAATCAGTCAATCAACTAATTGATTAAAATACATTATATTAAATCACGAGGCTGGTTGCAAAATATTTCGAGCAAACAGTAGATAAATAATATTTGCAGATCACATCTTTATCATCGACAATTATTCATATTTTTTTTAATTCATCGCATTTAATGAATACTTAACTAACAACAGCAAGATCAAAACTTTTTTTCCTCATCGTTACGATCTTTGTCTACCGCTTTAGATTTCTGATTTTCATAAGTGCCAAGTTTTTCGTCGATAGATGAATGAGTAGAGAGAGAGAGAGAGAGAGAGAGAAACAAAGAGCGAGAGTAAGAGCGCGAAAGAAAAAGAAAGTGCGTGAGAATGACAAACAAGAAGTAAAAAGTAATGCTTCCCCAAATTTCACGTGCGGGATGAGAGCCTGAAACGAGGAATTATCGCCTGTAGAGGAAGTGTCGGGTGCTCTAGGGCCGACTAGTGGTTAGGACCGTAGCTATTTCGATCGCTTTTACAAATTTCGACTCTTTTTACAGCTTAGCGCGGTAGTGCGTAGATTTTTATATGCGTCAACGATCAAACTGTTCGGGAAAAAAACACACGTGTATATACAATATATATATATATATATATATCTATACACTTGTGCGATATGAAAGACCGTGATTACGTATTTTATTGTTTAGAGCGCAAAAAATATTAATTCTTGTTGTATTACGCCTAAGTGCATTATTTCTCGTGAGTAAGATATCCTTTTATCGATGATTTCATTTGTTTTGATACTCATCGCCAGATCATGCAGGAAAGCAGCTTCGTCATAAATCTTTATAACTGACATTTTCGCTGATACTGTCATATACGAGAAAGTTATCGAAGCACCGTGCCTATCGGCACACTTTACACTTTCAGAGAAGAAGCACAATGCGACTGATTTTCGGTCGCAGAATATCAGGGTAAAACGCGATCGCTTATCGAGTTTTTGAATCGAGTGCAGAGAATTGTTTATAGACGCATACGAATTTTGTAGACAATTATTTAGGTGCTGTGGAAAGAAAAAAAAAAAAAAAATCGAAAATGTATATTATCGAGACAGCCGATGTCTTTCTATTTTACGCGAAGTGCAAATATGCGGATGAGATTTATATCAAGAAGCGCTAAGCTGGTTTTGATTTGCGAACAATCCGCTCGAATAATCGAGATGTTAAAATTTCGAGACAATTTCGCAAGTTCTCGTTACGGCCTCTCGAAGTCGCCTAATTTGTAGCATAATAGTTAGCGATAATATTATATATATATTTCACGATTTTATTGCGACCTTTAGCGTATCGTTTCTATCGATGTATAACGATCCTGTTCTGTTAATCTTTCTCGTGTAACATTTATTACGATAATACACAAGTGGTAAATAAAAGAGATGCTAAATCTGTCTCGTCGATTTGAGAAGCAGCGCGGCCTTTCCTCGTCTTCTTCTTTCGCGTAGCGTACATATCCCTTACACATTACATTTCATCATTCAAATACACTTCCCATTATTCAATCATCGCATGGGCATTCATAAGGATAAATTATTATATCGTCTTGTTTTGACGTAAACAAAATAGGAGATCCAGACGACCTGCACGGACGTGTGCGAAAGCTGTCAAAAGAAGGTCTACCCCTTGGAGAAAGTTGAGACCAATAACAAAATCTTTCACAAGCAATGCTTCCGGTGTCTCCAGTGCAACTGCATTTTAAGGTAACGAAAGGAAACGCGTATGAATTCTTGCTTCTATCATACTTGCCTATCAGCTTTGTAATTTAATAATCTTGTACTTTTCGCCAGCGAAATAATATTAATATACAAATAAATATTGGCGACTGTTTTAAAAAAAGTTTTCCTGCAAAAATGTAATGATTATGATTCGTAGAAATTTAATATATATTTCTTTAAAAACTGAAATGTTTTTTAAGTACGCCCTGAATTTAACGTAATAAAATTATAACGATTTTATGCGTTCGAACAGGATGGACTCTTTCACCCTGAACAATGGGAAGCTGTACTGCATCCCGCACTTCAAGCAACTCTTCATCACACGAGGAAACTACGACGAGGGCTTTGGCGTCGATCCACACAAGAACAAATGGGCGACGAACTCCAACAATTCCACAAGCCCGTCGCCAATCGCGGTCTCAAATGGCGAGCTCTGATTTTCCAAGTCTCCCACCTCACCTTCTTCTCCCCTTGTATATCGCTATTGAATTTTAGTCGAATGCATAGGTGGATCTGAGCGAAGATTAAAAAAAAAATCTAATTTTCGTTCCTCAAAAATGCGTGGAATGCATATTTGTTGAGGATTTTTACTGTATTTTATGATTTTAACGTTTTTTTTTTTCTTAAAAGCAGTGTGCTAGGTCCGCCTATGGTCAGAACGCGATGATAATTATAACAAATTGTATATTTTTCCTGCGTTAAACCCGTGAGTACGCATAATTGTATATTTTAATTAATCAGTAATCATTGGAATCAAATGCGGTGATCTGTCTCGGGGAGACAATCCCGAATGCGAATCCTTCTCGAAGTGTAATCTTGCCGAAAACGCTAAACGAATAAATTGAAAAAATGCGCACGATTGTAAATCGGAAATGCGAATATGATTTAGATTATATCGAGTCGAGTTAATAGTGGAAATATACACGTTTCGTTCCGTCAGTTTGTGCGCGTCATCGCGTATCTAAAGTGCGTGGAAAAAAAATATATTTATACGTTCGTTAATGAGCGAAGTAAATTTGTGGTATTTTCATATTGTAACGTGCTGATTAGTGTTTCATTTCTAATTTTAAATTTCACTGTCATCGCTCACCGTAAAATTCGCTTGATATTTGTTACTATTATTTTATTGATATTTTATTATTATTATTATTAATATTATTTACGTGCGCCGCACTTGGTATTATTTTATTATATATGTTGTATAATACAATATTACATTACGCTTCATGAACCTTGTATCCGAACCTATCCCTCAATAAATAAGAATTTTATATATCTTTGCAAATTATGTATCTTTCCGCGATGCATATGCGTTTAAATTAATACAAGCAATATTGTCCGTGATATAACAGCGTCATAATGAGATTTAAATTAATTCATCTAACAACAAAATGAAATAATTATGCACAATCGAAATACCAGAGAAAAAAATTGTCACAAATAAATAGCTGACAATGTTATCAAACAGTTCGCGAAAAAGGCATGGCTAACAAATGATATCGTTACCGTTTCCTGATAAAACACAGATGGCGAGACTCGCGTATACTGATTCCGACTGACGAGGCACAAGCTGGTAGCCATATCTAAAGTGCTACCAGCTGATGCAGTCTCGTCTTGTGTTGCTTGGAAAAATTAATTCTCACGGCGCATTTATATCACGACAGATCTATAATAATAATTTTGTCATTCGCTGGCTTAAATCTACGCAGTATAAGCACAAGTGTTACATAAATCAGTAATATGCGCCGTGAATGCAGCGGTGCAATACATCTTTAATTTATTTAAACCTAAATCTCTCATCAGTCAATCTATCTGATCGATCAAGCAGCTGATAAGCCGAAGTAAGTCACAAAATCATAAATAACATTTCGTCATTCTCTCTGACCAACTTTGTTTAATGTACAGAAATGCAAATGTCATTAATTATTCTTGTAAATATAATACTTGTTTACTTCGGTTGATAATTTACCGAAGAGATATAATCGCGCGCTAATTTGCCAGCATATGATGTAGTTTTTTTACGACGTAAACTAATTTATTCTCAGAAATATGTTTTTCTGAAGAAGTGCAATTATATATTAAATTATATACAGGTGCAAATACATTATTGCACTTGTAAAAAAATTAATATTACTCGATCTATCAATCGTTTGACTAATTATTTTACTTTGCAGATGGAGATCTGCATCGACTCCTTAGAATCTGCGAGAAACGCGATCGAAGGAGGAGCTAGCCGGCTGGAGGTTTGTATGGCCCTTTCGGAGGGTGGTTTAACACCGAGCCCAGGTCTGATTAAACAAATAAAAACTTTGGCGACCATTCCGCTTTACGCTATGATCCGCATTCGCAACGGCGATTTCATCTACAGCCACGAAGAGCTCGACGCTATGCTGCACGATTTGAAGATTCTCAAGGATCACGAAGTGAATGGCTTCGTCTTTGGCGCGTTGACAGCTGATTGCGAAATCGATATTGTCGCGTGTGAAAGGATCATTTCCGCCGCACGTCCCTTGCCGGTGACGTTTCATCGTGCTTTTGACCTAACGAACGATCCTTTGAAATCCATGGAAATCATCGCGAATCTTGGCTTCCAGAGGATTCTGACATCGGGACAGAAGAATACAGCTTTGGAAGGACTAGAGCTGATAAAAGTCTTGTTGCAAAAAGCGCCAAAACATCTGATAATTATGCCTGGCGCTGGCATTACAAGAGATAACATTCAAAAAATTATGGAATCTGGTGCTAAAGAATTTCACGCGTCAGCAAAGAGAAAAAAAATCATGACCTATAATGCGAATAAAGTCAGGATGGGCACCGGCGAGGACAATTTTATCAATGTAACGAATAGAGAACTAGTTAAGGATTTAGTTAATATTATCAAGAGTCAATGTACCGCCTCGTGAAAGATTATATAAAAAATAATATTAATTATATATTTTTATATGGATAGCATCTAAATATAACATGCACTCAATGTATTTAATTACTTTAAGACGAATAATGTTACATTATTGTATTTCTGTAATTTTGTATAATAAATAATAAATTGTTTTTTATTCTCATTTGTCCAACAATGCTAAAGATTAATTACATAAATACAATAATTATCGACCGTCGATCAGCACAAGATAAATTCTAATTTTCGTATTATCGATCCTCAGTTTACCATAATAATAAAAGCATACTTCTAAACACTGTACATCACAAATCACGAGATACTCAAAGTTTCAGAGGTCAGTTTCTTCAAGCCGTTGGAAGTGTTAGCAACATATTTTCTGAATTATCCTTTAAATCGTATTAATTAAAATAGACTATTCTATTTAAATAATCGTGTGTGAAATTAGTACATAGATATAAAAATTCTATGATTCCGAGCAAAGTTCCAGTTTTCTTTTAAAAAATAAGTTCTAAGTATTCCGGTATGTATCGACCCTCTATTCTAAATGATCGTATCAGTGAAATCATTAGAAACGTATCATAAAAGCATAGATTACTGTAAATTGTTAAATAGAAAAAATTATATAAGTATATATCTCAATTATTTATGCGATATGCTTATCAAAGCTTTAACGCTGGTTTATGTTGTCCAATAGAGGTGAAAATGGAAAACAGTACTGAATCTAATGACGAAGTCAACTTAACGGATCAATAGCATTATACGAAGCCACATGTGCAACAGTAATTTCTTTTTAAAACGTGATTTTATATAATTGTTGTGTCTTTATCTGTACCTCTATTGCTAATTACTATATATATATATAACGTTTTGATATAATGTAATATAAATTTTTGCAAGTAAAAAAAAAGTTTTAAAAATTCCGTTAAGAACCCAATTATATATTCGATAAGCTTATTTATGCCTAAACGCCGTTTTATGTTGTTTAATAAAGGTGAACATGATCAACAATAAATCGAAAGAAGAACATAACATTGAACAATTAATGGAATCGTGCGAAATCACATCTACAAAAGTAAGTTCTTTGCAAAATGATCACGCCTACTTATTGCGCCTGTGTCTATACTTATATCGCTAATAATACTGACATCTCGATTTGTCATAACGCGATAAAAATTTCCAAATTTTTTTTAATACAAAAAAAAATTTTAAGAGTTCTATTAAGAACTTAATTATATATTCGACAAGCTTATCTACATTGTTTTATGTTGTCTAATAAAGGTGAAAAGAAGGAGCAAAGATTCCAAACAGATGGATAACTCTGAAGAATCGGACACAGATATATTCCCAAGAGTAAGTTCTTTTTAAAACGTGATTACACCTACTTGTTGTATTTTTGTCTGTTCCTCTATCGCTAATTATGCATATTGTTTTGGTACAATACAATATAAATGCAATATATATTGCAATCGTAATATAAATTTGCAAACTTTTGTAAGTATGAAAAAAAAGTTTTACGATGTATAATGCCATATAATGTTTAATGCCGTTAAAAAACTCAATTATATTCTACAAGTTTATCTATGCTTAAACATTTTATATTGTTTAATAAAGACAGAAACGATGAGCAGCGCTGAATTTGAAGAGCTCGACTGTAATGAGTCAATAGAATTAATCGAAGTCACATCCAAAAAAGTAATTTCTTTTTAAAGTGTGATTACTTAGTAAACAAAAAAAATATAACTGTATTGTTGTTGGAGCGAACATATTTCTAATATACTGGCTCGTCACTAATTTTCCAAATTTTTTAAGTATTAAAATAAAAAACAGCACTCATTTCCTACTCGCTTTTTAACGATACTTTTAAGTTTTCTCTTTTATATATATATATATATCACCATTTTCTCCAATAACTCAATACATTATTCTATTCATATAATAAATTACTGTTTTAATGAACTGATGCAAATTTAATAAAAGAACTGAAAATTTTAGAATAAAGCAAAAATTATATTTGCAACCGACGATTTCTATGGCGTGGCTGAAAATCTACTTAAAGTAAGTAGTTGTATTAAATATAACTAAAAATTCATATATATTCATGTATATTCGTCCAATATTATAAAAGATATCAGATATGATATAAATATAATAATTATAACAATCTAAATTGCAAAGTATTAAAATTTAAGAATCAAAGCTGGATGTTCGTGTTGAAATTATATTTACAAATTAGAATTATGTATGTAGTAGAATTATGTACGTTTCAATTTCTGAGTCATCTTCAGTATGAAAAGCTACAGTGATATCAAAATAAACGCAATGAATAAACAAATAAGCAACAATTGCACGAACAACAAGTTTAGCTCTTAAGCCTTGACATACTTTAACTTAGATTGTTAAATCAATTGAGTCACAATTTTCTAATAATTATAACAATAAAATATATTTCGACATAATCGAGAACTAGTCTAAAAAGCATAGAATGTGTGCAGAAAATCTGCAATTAATACATTTAACATCGTTGACGATTTATTGTCGTTTCATTTCAGGATGACGATCCTGTATGCAATAAACACACGTTTTTTGATAATAAAATCAACAACAATGTCGATGGATGGAAAACTCAAAAAATACGACATAACAAAAATAATTTTGTTATTATCCAATTGGCCGGTGCAACTGATATACATTCCATTTGCATAGATACCACGTGCTTTACCGACCCCTATATTTCACAGTTTTCCGTACAAGGCGAATTGCTATCTAAACGTTCGTGAGAAATAACTTATAAGTAGCGACTTGTTAATCCTAACTTATTAATCTCATTATTATATTACTAACATTATAAATGACTTAATATTAATCCCTAATTGTAGTATCTATATATTAACATAATTTATTATGTAGTTACATTGGAGAAAACGTATATGCAAAACCGGAAAGAATTAAGCGGAAAGTGCAGAATGAAAGAGTATATGTACATGGAAAACGAAACAAAGGTTAATATTACAATAATATATATTCCAAAATCTATATTACTAAAATTTATATTATCTAACATATGTAATTTTTGTTGGAATTTGAATTGAGAATGATATAAACAAGGACACATAAATTATAAAACTTAATAATAAATTCATATATATAATGACAACTTATTTTTATAATATATTTTATAACAATAATTCTTTCGCCAAAAATGTCTTACGTATGAGAAATGTGTTACGTTTCGTGATGATTTTGCTGTCAATGGATCATTGATTGTCAAATGCAATTTCAGAAATGGGACTATTTGATTTCGAGACAAAAGCTGAACCCCGGCTACCCATCTATACGTAAAAAGTTCTTCAAAATATTACCGCATAATCCAGTGACCCATTTGCGACTCAATCTTTTCCCAGACGGAGGAATTGCCAGATTACGCGCTTACGGACGAGTGATACCCACCACCATAACAACAATGAATAGGGAGATTAATTTAATCTCATCTGTGTATAATAGTGATTGTGTATCATTTAGTGAGAGTTACATTGGACATCCTAATAATATTATTCAACCTAACAAAGCCACAAGTATAATTGACGGATGGGTAACTGCAAGAAAACATAACGAATACTACGAAATTAGTGATACGTTTTATGATGAGGTACATAAAACTGTATCAAATACTAATTATGAAATTGCAGTCAATTATTTAAAAATCCCGTAAAATAAATGTTTTTTTTAGCGCAATATGTATTTTACATCAATATTAATGGAATATCTCTTTACATAAAAAAAAATTATTATTTACGCTAAATAATTTGGTATAAAAATTTTAGATAATGACCGAACACTGGGCTTTGTTTAAATTAGGATGCAGTGGCACAGTCACTCGTATTGTTATCGATACAAGACTTTTCACTGGAAATGCTCCATTCATGGTACAAGTGCAAGGATTGTATGAGACAGATGGTGTAAACACCAAATGGAAAAACATCATACCGCGTACTTATGTGAGCTTAGTTTAATTAATTTTTCACGTTTTGAGGGTTTGGCTGTTTTAACTATATTATATAATGTAATTTATATTTGTATTACACAATTGATGCTACTAATTAATCACCTCTACTATCTCAATTTATTCATATTAATGAAAGTGATAAGTGCCAATGTAACTTCACGAATGCACAAAATTGTTGTGAAATGTCAGTATCAGCAAATTATAATCATATGCAATATTCTTTTTATAACTCAAATAATCTTACAGATAAATCCAGGCATGGAACAAAATATTATAGTGGAAACAAATCGGAGAATTAAAGTAACTTCCGTAAAAATAATAATTGGACCAGATGGTGGTATATCTAGATTCCGAGTGTTTGGCATACCTGAATTTAACGCATAAAAATGGAAAGAATAGAATATTTGGTGAGGACGATTTATTTTAAACAACTTATACTGAAAAAAAAAATTTATAATAGTTTCACTGTAATAGTGCTTTTTAAAGCCAACTTTATTTTTATGGGTGTTCTAATTATTTAACAGAACAATTTGAAGTAATAGCAATTCCTATAAAAATAAGTATCCGGACTATAATTACTTTAATATATAATTTTTGTTTTTCTCAGTATAATAATGACAATAATGATCAAACTATAGCATTTATCAAAGTAAAGACAAACTGTTGACATTCTTTTCTTTTCCACCAAATATTTTTCAAAAAATAGATAAAAAATGTTAGCATTTTTAATAACGCATTGTAGTATTTTATGGTACTACAAATATTTATTTTATAGCGTTTTATGTTCTAAAGTGACTCAATAAATCATAATTTTTACTGCTACACAAGTTTAGTGCATTAAATTCTTTTACTTCCTCGAACCGCGAGTTTTGATGATGTATAACGAAAAAGGCCGATATCTGCCACCATCGTGGCGGGACATGACAATCATTTCCTTGTGATGCCCACATCGTTTTACATTCATAGGGATAAATTATTATATTATTCTGTTTTGACGTAAACATAATAAGAAATCCAGACCGTCTCCAATGCGAATCCTCCTAAAAAAATCGTGACCTATGTGAATAAAGTCAAAAAGGGCACCAGTGAAGACGATTTTGTCAATGTAAAAAATAGAGAATTAATTAAAAAATTAGTTAATATTATCAAGAGTCAATGTACCGTCCTCGTGAAAAATTATATAGAAAATAATATTAATTATATATTTTTATATGGATGGTATCTAAATACAATACGAACTCAATGTATTTAATTACTTTAAGACGAATAATGTTATTATTGTATTTCTGTAATTTTGTATAATAAATAGGTTTTTATTATCTTCATTTGTCCAACAATGTTAAAGATTAAATACATAAATACAATAATTATCGACGGTCGATCAATGCAAGATAAATTCTAATTTTCATATTATCGATCCTCAGTTTACCATAACAATAAAGGCATGTTTCTAAACATCGTACAACACAAATCACGAAATGCTCAAATTTCAGAGGTCAGTTTCTTCAAGTCGTTGAAAGTGTTAGCAACATATTTTCCGAATTATCCTTTAAATCGTATTAATTAAAAAAGACTATTCTATTTAAATGATCGTGTGTGAAATTAGTACATACATATAAAAATTCTATAATTCCGAGCAAAGTTCCAGTTTTCTTTTAAAAAATAAGTTCTAAGTATTCCGGTATGTATCGACCCTATATTCTAAATGATCGTATCAGTGAAATCATTAGAAACGTATCATAAAAGCATAGATTACTGTAAATTGTTAAATAGAAAAAATTATATAAGTATATATCTCAATTATTTATGCGATATGCTTATCAAAGCTTTAACGCTGGTTTATGTTGTCCAATAGAGGTGAAAATGGAAAACAGTACTGAATCTAATGACGAAGTCAACTTTAACGGATCAATAGCATTATACGAAGCCACATGTGCAAAAGTAATTTCTTTTTAAAACGTGATTTTATATAATTGTTGTGTCTTTATCTGTACCTCCATTGCTAATTACTACATATATATATAACGTTTTTGATATAATGTAATATTAAATTTTGCAAGTAATTAAAAAAAAAGTTTTAAAAATTCCGTTAAAGAACCCAATTATATATTCGATAAGCTTATTTATGCCTAAACGCCGTTTTATGTTGTCTTAATAAAGGTGAACATGATCAACAATAAATCGAAAGAAGAACATAACATTGAACAATTAATGGAATCGTGCGAAATCACATCTACAAAAGTAAGTTCTTTACAAAATGATCACGCCTACTTATTGCGCCTGTGTCTATACTTATATCGCTAATAATACTGACATCTCGATTTGTCATAACGCGATAAAAATTTCCAAATTTTTTAAAATATAAAAAAAAGTTTTGAGAATTCTATTAAGAACTTAATTATATATTCGACAAGCTTATCTACATTGTTTTATGTTGTCTAATAAAGGTGAAAAAAAGGAGCAAAGATTCCAAACAGATGGATAACTCTGAAGAATCGGGCGCAAATATATCCTCAAGAGTAAGTTCTTTTTAAAACGTGATTACACCTACTTTTTGTATCTCTGCCTATTCCTCTATCGCTAATTATGCATATTGTTTTGGTACAATACAATATAAATGCAATATATATTGCAATCGTAGTACAAATTTGCAAACTTTTGCAAGTATGAAAAAAAAGTTTTGCGATGTATAATGCAATATAATGTTTAATGCCGCTAGAAACTCTATTATATATTCTACAAGCTTATCTATGCTTAAACGTTTTATGTTGTTAATAAAGACAGAACCGGAGAGCAACTCTGATTGTGAATCTGAAGAGGACGACTGGAATGAGTCAATGGAATTAATCGAAGTCACATCCGAAAAAGTAATTTCTTTTTAAAGTGTGATTACTTAGTAGACAAAAAAAAATTAACTGCATTGTTGTTGGAGCAAACATACTTCTATGTACAAATATACTGGCTTCTATTGAAATCACCAGTTTTGCAAATTTTTTAAATATTTAAACAAAAAGCAGAACTCATTTCCTACTCGGTTTTTAACGATACTTTTAAGTTCTCTCTTTTATATACATATATATCACCATTTTCTCCAATAACTTAATACATTATTTTATTACTATGATAAATTACTTTTTTTATCGACTGATAAGAATTTAATAAAATAATTAAAAATTACAGAACGCAGCAAAAATTATATTTGCAACCGATGATTCTTGCGGCGTGGCTGAAAATCTACTTAAAGTAAGAAGTTGTATTAAATATAACTAAAATTTCATATATAAACATACATATTCTTCCAATCTTGTAAAAAATATCAGTTATGATATAATAATAATGATTATAACAATCTAAATTACAGAGTATCAGAATTTAAGAATTAAAGCTGGTTGTTCGTGTTGGAATCATATTTACAAATTAAAATTATATACGTTTTGATTTGTGATTCATCTTTAGTGTGAAAAGCTACAGTGATATCAAAGTCAACGCAATGAATAAATAAATAAACAACAATTGCACGAACAACAACTTTTAGCTCTTGAGCCTTGACACACTATAATTTAGATTGTTAAATTAACTGAGTTACAATTTTTTAATAATTATAACAATAATATATTTCGACATAATCGAGAACTAGTCTAAAAACCATAAAATGTGTGAAGAAAATCTGAAATTAATACATTTATCATCGCTAACGATTAATTGTTGTTTTATTTCAGGATGACGATCCTGTATGCAATAAACACACGATTTCCGATAACAAAATTAACAACAATGTCGATGGATGGAAAACACGAAAAATGCGAGAGAAAAATGAAAGGAATAATTTTGTTATTATCCAATTGGCCGATCTAACTGAGATACATTCCATTTGCATAGATACCGCGTGCTTTATCGAGCCCTATATTTCAGAGTTTTCCGTACAAGGCGGAATACCAGCCAAACGTTCGTGAGAAATAACTTCTAGCGACTTGTTAATCCTAACTTATTAATCGCATTATTATATTACTAATATTATAAATGACTTAATATTAATCCCTAATTGTAGTATCTATATATTAACATAATTTATTATGCAGTTATACTGAAGAAAAAGTATATACAAAAACGGAAACACAAATTAGGCGGACAGTGCGGTATAAAAGAGTATACGTACATGGAAAACGAAACAGAGGTCAATATTACAATATTACATATTCCAAAATCTATATTACTAAAATTTATATTATCCAACATATGTAATTTTTGTTGGAATTCAAAGTACTAAGAATAATATAAACAAAGACACAAAAATTATAAAACTTAATTATAATTTTATATATATAATGACAATTTATTTTTATAATATATTTTGTAACAATAGTACTTTCGTCAAAAATGTCTTGCGTATCAGGAATGTGTTACGTTTCGTGATGATTTTGCTGTCAATGGATCATTAATTGCCAAATGCATTTTCAGAAATGGGACTATTTGATTTCGAGACAAAAGCTGAACCCCGGCTACCCATCTATACGTAAAAAGTTTTTCAAAATATTCCAAAATCCAGTGACCCATTTGCGACTCAATCTTTTCCCAGACGGAGGTATAGCCAGATTACGCGCTTACGGACAAGTAATACCCCCCACTGCAATGAATAAGGAGATTAATTTAATCTCCTCTGCGTATAATAGTGATTGTGTATTATTTAGTGAGAGTTACATTGGGCATCCTAATAATATTATTCAACCTAACGAAGCGACAAGTATAATTGACGGATGGGTAACTGCAACAAAACATGACGAATCGAACGAAACGTCATACGATGAGGTAGATAAAACTGTATCAAGTACTAATTATGAAATTGCAGTCAATTATTTAAAAATCCCGTCAAATAAATGTTTCTTTAGCGCAATATGTATTTTACATCAATATTAATGGAATATCTCTTTACATAGAAAAATAATTATTATTTACGCTAAATAATTTGGCATAAAAATTTTAGATATTGACCGAACACTGGGCTTCGTTTAAATTAGGATGCAGTGGTACAGTCACTCGTATTGTTTTCAATACAAAACTTTTCACTGAAAATGCTCCAGTCACGGTACAAGTGCAAGGATTGTATGAGACACGTGGTGTAAACACCGAATGGAAAAACATCATACCGCGTACTCATGTGAGCTTAGTTTAATTAATTTTTCACGTTTTGGCTGTTTTAACTATATTACACAACATAATTTATATTTGTGTTACACAATTGATGCTTTTAATTAATCACTTCTACTATTTCAATTTATTTATATTAATGAAAGTAATAAGTGCCAATGTAACTTCACAAATACACAAAATTGTTGTAAAATGTCAGTATGAGCAAATTATAATCATATGCAATATTCTTTTTATAACTCGAATAATCTTACAGATAAAGCCGGGCACGGAACAAAATATTAGAGTGGAACCAAATCAAAGAATTAAAGTAACTTTCGTAAAAATAATAATTCAACCAGATGGTGGTATATCTAGATTCCGAGTGTTTGGCATACCTGAATTTAACAGATAAATGGATAAAAATGGAAAGAGCAGAATATTTGGTGATGACGATTTATGTTGAACAACTTACACTGGGAAAAACAAATTTATAATAGTTTCACTGTAATAGTGCTTTTTAAAGCCAACTTTATTTTTATGGGTGTTCTAATTATTAAACAGAACAATTTAAAGTAATAGCAATTCCTATAAAAATAAGTATCCGGACTATAATTACTTTAATATATAATTTTTGTTTTTCTCAGTATAATAATGACATTAATGATCAAACTATAGCATTTATCAAAGTAAAGACAAACTGTTGACATTCTTTTCTTTTCCACCAAATATTTTTCAAAAAATAGATAAAAAATGTTGGCATTTTTAATAACGCACCATAGTTTTATGTTGCTATAAATATTTATTTTATAGCGTTTTATGTTCTAAAGTGACTCAATAAATCATAATCTTTTCTGCTACACAAGTTTAGTGCATTGAATTCTTTCACTTCCTCGAGCCGCGAGATTTGATGATGAATAACATAAAAGGCCGATATCTGCCACCATCGTGGCGGACATGACAATCATTTCCTTGTGATGCCCACATCGCTTCACATTCATATATATATATAAGGATAAACTATTACATTATTTTGTTTTGACGTTAACATAATAGGAAATCCAGACTGTCCCCAATGCGAATCCACCTCAAACTGTGACATTGCCGAACACTCTATACAAATAAATTGAAAAGATGCGCACAATTGTAAATCGGAAACACGAATAAGATTTAATTATATCGATTCGAATTAGTAATGAAAGTATACACATTTCGTTCTATCAGTTTGTGCGCGTAATCGCGCATCTAAAATACATGAAAAAATATATATTTATACGTTTATCAATGAGCGAAGTGAATTTTATTATAACGTGCTAATAAGTGCTTTATATCTAATTTTAAATTCCATTGTCATCGCTTACCATAAAATTCGCTTAATATAACTATTATAACTATTATTTTATCATTATTATAATTAATATTATTTATGTGCGCTCGATTTGTTATTATTTTAGATGTATAATACAATATTACATTACGCTCCATAAACCTCGTTTTCGAAACTATCCCTCAAAATAAAAATTTTATATATTCTTGCAAATTATGTATCTATCCGCAATCCATATGCGTTTAAATTAATATAAAAAATATTATTCGCGCTATAACTGTGATATAATGAGATTTTAATCAATTCATCTAATAACAAAGTGAAATCATTATGGACAATCAAGTACCCGAAAAAAAAACTTTGCTCCAGATTTCAGTAATTACAAATAATACAGCAACATTGACGGAAAACTTGACTCTTCGTGATGTATTGTTATTATATTCTTTGCTGCACCGTCACAAGTAAATAGTTCACAACGTTATCAAACAGTTCGCGAAAAATAACTAACAAACCATATCGTTACCGTTTTCTGACAAAATACAAATAGCGAAACTCGCGTATGTTGATTCTCGTTGATTGACAAGATACAGGCTGGTGGTCATTTTTAATGTGCTATCAGCTGATGCAAACGTTTCGTGTTTACTTAAAAAAATTAATTCTCGCGGCGAATATATATCACAATTGATCTAATAATTTTGTTATTTGCTGGCTTAAATCTGCGCAGCATAAGCAAAAGTGTTACATAGATCAGTAATATGCCGTAAATGCAGCGGTACAATATATCTTTAATTTATTTAAACCTAAATTGACCTCAATCTCTCATCAGTCAATCTATCTGATCGATCAAGCAGCTGATAAGCCGAGGTAAGTCACAAATCATAAATGACATATCGTCATTCTCTCTAAGCAACTTTGTTTAACGTACAAAAATGCAAATGTCATTAATTATTCTTCTAAATATAATTCTTGTTTACTTTGGTTGATAATTTATCGGAGAGATTTAATTGTGCGCTGATTTGCCAGCATATGATGTATTTTTTTTACGACGTAAATTAATTAATTCTCAGAAAAATATTTCTTTAAAAAAGTGCAATTATATAATAAATTACATACATATACACATGCAAATACATTATTGCACTTGTATACAAATTAATATTAATCGATCTATCAATCGTCTGACTATTTACTACACTTTGTATCAACTTCTTAGAATCTGCGCGAAACGCTCGAAGAAGCAGCTAGCCGACTGGAGGTTTGTACGACTTTCTCGGAGTGGTAACTTAATACCGAGCGCAGGTTTGATTCAACAAATAAAAACTTTGACGATCATTACGCTTTACGTTATGATCTGCATTCGCAGCGGCAATTTCGTCTACGGCTACGAAGAGCTTGACGCTATGCTGCACGATTTGAAAATTCTCAAGCATCACGAAGTGAACGTATTTGTCTTTGGCGCGTTGATAGCCAATTGCAAAATCGACTTGTCGCATGTGAAAGAATCGTTTCCACTACACGACTCTTGCCGATGACGTTTCAACATGCTTTCGATCTAACGAACAATTGTCTTAAATCGATAGAAATCATCTCAAATCTTGGCTTCCAAAGAATTCTAACATTGGGACAGAAAAATACTGCTTTGGAAAAACTAGAGCTGATAAAAGCATTGTTGCAAAATGGCTTGATAATTATACCTGGAGTTGACATCACAAAAAATAACATTCAAAAAATTATGGAACCTGGTGCTAAACAATTTCACGTCTTGGCAAAGAGGAAAAAAATCGTGACCTATGTGAATAAAGTCAGGATGGGCACCAGCAAAAACGATTTTGTCAATGTAAAGAACTAGTTAAGTAATTAGTTAATATTATCAAAGGTCAATGTACCGTCTCGTGAAAGATTATATAAAAAATATTAATTATATATTTTTATATGGAAAGTATCTAAATACAATACGAACTCAATGTAATTAATTACTTTAAGACGAATAATGTTACATCATTGTATTTCTGTAATTTTGTATAATAAATTGGTTTTATTGTCCTCATTTGTCCAACAATGTTAAAGACTAAATACATAAATGCAAAATTATCGACAGTCGATCAATACAAGATAAATTCCAATTTTCATATTATCGATCCTCAGTTTACCATAATAATAAAGGCATGCTTCTAAACATCGTACAACACAAATCACGAGATGCTCAAATTTCAGAGGTCAGTTTCTTCAAGCCGTTGGAAGTGTTAGCAACATATTTTCCGAAATTATCCTTCATATCATATTAATTAAAAACTATTCTATTTAAATGATCGTGTGTGAAATTAGTACATACATATAAAAATTCTATAATTCCGAGCAAAGTTCCAGTTTTCTTTTAAAAAATAAGTTCTAAGTATTCCGGTATGTATCGACCCTATATTCTAAATGATCGTATCAGTGAAATCATTAGAAATGTTTCATAAAAGCATAAATTATTGTAAATTGTTAAATAGAATAAATTATATAAGTATATATCTCAATTATTTATGCGATATACTTATCAAAGCTTTAACGCTGGTTTATGTTGTCCAATAGAGGTGAAAATGAAGAACAGTATTGAATCTAATGACGAAGTCAACTTTAACGAATCAACATTATTATACGAAACCACATGCGCAAAAGTTATTTCTTTTTAAAACATAATTTTATATAATTATTGAGTCTTTATTTATACCTCTATTGCTAATTACTACATATATATATATATATATATATATATATATATATATATATATATACAAATGCCGTTAAAAACTCAATTATATATTCTACAAGCTTATCTATGCTTAAACGTTTTATGTTGTTTAATAAAGACAGAAACGGAGAGCAACGCTGAATCTGAAGAGTTCGACTATCATCATTCATTGGAATTAAAAGAAGTCACATCCGAAAAAGTAATTTTTTTTTAAAGTGTGATTACTTAGTAAAGAAAAAATATATAACCGTATTGTTGTTGGAACAAACATGCTTCTATGTACAAATATACTGGTTCGTCACTAGTTTTTCAAATTTTTAAGCATTAAAATAGAGAACAGCACTCATTTTTCAGTTGCTTTTTTATAATTTCTTAAACTCTTCTCTTTTTTATCACCATTTTCTCTAATAACTTAATACATTATTCCACTCACATGATAAAGTACTTTATTAATCGACTGATAAGAATTCAATAAAATAATTGAAAATTATAGAACGGAGCAAAAATTATATTTGCAACCGATGATTTTTACGGCGTGGCTGAAAATCTACTTAAAGTAAGTAGTTGTAATAAATATAACAAAAATTTCATATATAAACATACATATTCTTTCAATATTATGAAAGATATCAAATATGATATAAATATAATAATTATAACAATCTAAATTACAGAGTATCAGAATTTAAGAATCAAAGCTGGTTGTACGTGTTGAAATTATATTTGCAAATTAAAATTATGTACGTTCCGATTTCAGATTCATCTTCAGTGTGAAAAGCTACAGTGATATCAAAGTCAACGCAATAAATAAATAAATAAATAACAGTTGCACGAACAACAAGTTATAGCTCTTTAGCCTTGACACACTATAATTTAGATTGTTAAATCTATTGAATCATAATTTTCTAATAATTATAACAATAAAATATATGCATAATCAAAAACTAATCTAAAAAGCATAGAATGTGTGTAGAAAATCTACAATTAATACATTCATCATTGCTGACGGTTTATTGTTGTTTTATTTCAGAATGATGATCCTGTATGCAATGAACACATGATGTTCAGTAACAAAACCAACAACAATGTCGACGGATGGAAAACCCAAAAAATGCGAAATGAACGGCATAATTTTGTTATTATCCAATTACCCGGTGCAACTGTTATACAGTCCATTTGTATAAACACTGCCTGCTTTATCAACGAGTTTTCAGAATTTTCCGTACAAGGCAAAATGCTATCCGAACGTTCGTGAGAAATAACTTATAAGTAGCGACTTGTTAATCCTAACTTATTAATCTCATTATTATATTACTAATATTATAAATAACTTAATAATTATCCCAAATTGTAATCTATATGTTAATATAATTTATTGCAGGTTTAATTGGCATTAAATATAAGCCAAATCGTACAAATAAATTAGGCACATCTTGCAATATGGAAGACTACATATCCATGCACGATAATACAAAGGTCAATATTACAATATTATATATTTCAAAATCTATATTACTAAAATTTATATTATTCAACATATTTTACTTTTTTTTCAAATGGAAGTATTCAGAAGTATTAAAGAGTAATATAAACGAAAATAAATTATAAAACTTAATCTTAATTATATATATATGATTACAACATATTTTTATATGTTTTATAACAATAGTCCTTTCGCCAAAAATGTCTTGCATATAAAAAATGTGTTACGTTTCGTGATGATGGTCAATAGGTCATTGATTGTCAAATGAAATTTCAGGATTGGAACTATTTGATTTTACCATCCACTCTGAGCTCCGGCTATCCATCTATGTGTAAAAAGTCCTTCTGCGTCTTACCGCATTACACCGTGACCCATTTGCGACTCAATATTTTCCCAGACGGAGGTATTGCCAGATTACGCGCTTACGGAGTAGTGTTGCCCATGATTACAAAAATAAATAGGGACATTGATTTAATCTCCTCTTTGTATAATAGTCATTGTACATTATTCAGTGACAGTTCCATTGGACATCCTAATAATATTATTCTACCTAATGAAGCCACAAGCATTGTTGAAGGATGGAATACTGTAGAAAAACATTACAAATACTACAAATTTAATGAAACGTCATTCGATGAGGTACTTAAAACTGTATCAAGTACTAATTATGAAATTGCAGTCAATTATTTAAAAATTCCATAAAGTAAATATATCCTAGTGCATTATGTATTTTACATCAATATTAATAGAATATCTCTTTACATTAAGAAATAATTATTATTTACGCTGAATAATTTGGCATAAAAATTTTAGATATCGGTCGAATCCTGGGCTATATTTAGGTTGGGATGCAGAGGCACAGTCACTCATGTTGTTATTGATACAAGACTTTTCACTGGCAATGCTCCATACATGGTACGAGTGCAAGGATGTTTTGGAAAAACTGATGATAATTTAAACGACAAATGGGAAAAACTCATATCGGATGTTCATGTAAGCTAAGTTTAATTAATTTTTCACGTGTTGTGTATTTGGCTGTTTTTACTATATTATACGATATAATTTATATTTGTATTACACAATTGACGCTTCCAATTAATCACTTCTACTATTTCAATTTATTCATATTAATGAAAGTGATAAGTGCCAATGGAACTTCACGAATGCACAAAATTTTTGTAAAATGTCAGTATGAGCAAATTATAATCATATGCAATATTCTTTTTATAATTCAAATAATTTTACAGATAAATCCGGGCACGGAGCTATCTATTACTGTGGACAAAGATCAGAATTCTATCGTAAATTGGGTGAAAATAACAATTAAACCAGATGGTGGTATATCTAGATTTCGAGTTTTTGGCAAACCTAAAATTGATTGGACATAATAAATGAAAGCTCTAGAATAAGGTGATGACGATTTACGATAAATATCTTATACTAAGAAAAAAAAAATTGTTGCAGTAACAATATTTTCACTATAATAGTCTTTGTAACGATATCACTATAATAGTGCTTTTTAGCGTCAACTTTATTTTTATAGATGTTCTAATTATTTAATAGAAGTAAATTGAAGTAATAGCAATTTCTATAAAAATAAGTATCTGGACTATAATTATTTTACTACACAATTTTAGTTTTTCTCAGTATAATAATGACAATAATGATCAAACTGTAGCATTTAGCAAAGTAAAGAAAAACTGTTGATATTCTTTTATTCCATTGACTATTTTTTCAAAAAAATAGTTAAAAGAATGCATTTTCAATAACGCATCATAGTATTTTATATTGCTATAAATATTTATTTTATGGCGTCTTATGTTCTAAAGTGACTCAATAAATCATAATTTTCACTGCTACACAAGTTTAGTGCATTGAATTCCTTTACTTCCTCGAGCCGCGAGTTTTGATAATGAATAACAAAAAAGGCCGATATCTGCCACCATCGTGGCGGGATATGACAATCATTTCCCGATGATGTCCACATCGCTTTACATTCATAAAGATAAATTATTATATTATTTTGATTTGACGTAAACATAATAGGAAATTCAGACCGTCCCCAATGCAAATCCTCCTCAAACTGTGACATTGCCGAACACGCTATACGAATATATTAAAAAGATGCGCACAATTGCAAATCGGAAACGCGAATACGATTTAATTAAATATATCGATTCCAATTAGTAAAAAATATATACACGTTTCGTTCTATCAGTTTGTGCGCATAATTGCGCATCTAAAATACGTGAAAAAAAATATATTTATACGTTCGTCAATGAGCGATGTGAATTTTATTATACCGTGCTGATAAGTGTCTTATTTCTAATTTTAAATTCTATTATAATTAATATTATTTATGTGCGCTCGACTTGATATTATCTTAAATGTATAATACAATATTACATTACGCTCCATGAACCTCGTATTCATACCCAACCCCCAAAATAACAATTTTATATATTCTTGTAAATTACGTATCTTTCCGCAATCCATATGCGTATAAATTAATACAAGAAATATTATTCGTGTTATAACTGTGATATAACTGAAATTTTAATCAATTCATCTAATAACAAAATAAAATCATCATGGACAATTAAGTGCCCAGAGAAAAAACATTGTTTCAGATTTCAGTAATTACAAATGATACAGCAACATTGACGGAAAACTTGACTCTTCGTGATGTATTGTTACTATATTCTTTGCTGCACCGTCACAAGTAAATAGTTGACAACGTTATCAAACAGTTCGCGGAAAATAACTAACAAACGATATCGACACCGTTTTCTGACAAAATACAAATGGCGAGACTCGCGTATGTTGATTCCGATTGACGAGATACAGGCTGATAGTCATTTCTAAAGTCACGGCCGCATTTACTATAAGGCGCATTAAGCGCAAGCTAAAGCCTCATATTGAAATCTTACTTTTCACTAATGACAATATAAAAAACAGCCTAGTTATAGTTGTAAAATAAAATACTTACTTTTAAATATTAAATTTATAATATAAAACTAGAGGCCGCTGAAAAATTTGTAAGCGATAATTGTTTATTAAATTAAGCCTTTTTGCATCATGTAATGCATGTCGACTTTTATTTTCAATAAACTTAAAAATAAATGCGTATGAATTTGATTAACTAAAATAGACTTATTCTTTTCAGGCCTCATAATGATGTTGCGCCTAGAGCTCCAAAAATATAAATGCGGCCCTGTCTAAAGTGCTATCAGCTGATGCAGTCGTCTCGTGTTTGCTTGGAAAAATTAATTCTCGCGGCGAATTTATATCACAATTGATCTAATAATTTTGTTATTTGCTGGCTTAAATCTGCGCAGCATAAGCAAAAGTGTTACATAGATCAGTAATATGCCGAAAATGCAGCGGTACAATATATCTTTAATTTATTTAAACCTAAATTGACCTAAATCTCATCAGTCAATTTATCTGATCGATCAAGCAGCTGATAAGCCGAGGTAAGTCACAAATCATAAATGACATTTCGTCATTCTATCTAAGCAACTTTGTTTAACGTACAGAAATGCAAATGTCATTAATTATTCATCTAAATATAATTCTTGTTTACTTCGGTTGATAATTTATCGAAAAAATTTAATCGTGCGCGGATTTGCCAGCATATGATGTAATTTTATAACGACGTAAATTAATTAATTCGCAAAAAAATGTTTCTCTAAAAAAGTGCAATTATATATTAAATTACATACATATACGAATGCAAATACAGTATTGTACTTGTAAAAAAATAAATATTAATCAATCTATCAATCGTCTGGCTATTTACTACACTTTGTATCAACTCCTTAAAATCTGCGCGAAACGCTCAAAAAAGCAGCTAGCCGGAGCAGCTAACTGGAGGTTTGTACGATTTTCTCGGAGTGGTAATTTAATACCGAGCGCAGGTTTGATTCAACAAATAAAAACTTTGACGACCATTGCGCTTTACGTTAAGATCTGCATTCGCAGCGGCAATTTCGTCTACGGCTACGAAGAGCTTGACGCTATGCTGTACGATTTGAAGATTCTCAAGCATCACGAAGTGAACGGACTCGTCTTTGGCTTGTTGATAGGCGATTGCAAAATCGACTTGTCGCATGTGAAAGAATCGTTTCCGCTACACGACCCTTGCGATGACGTTTCAACATGCTTTCGATCCAACGAACAATTGTCTTAAATCGATAGAAATCATCGCAAATCTTGGCTTCCAAAAAATTCTAACAATGAGACAGAAGAATACTGCTTTGGAAAAACTAGAGCTGATAAAAGCATTGTTGCAAAATAATTTGATAATTATGGCTGGAGTTGACATCACAAAGAATAACATTCAAAAAATTATGGGACCTGGTGCTAAACAATTTCACGCCTTGGCGAAAAAAAAAATCGTGACCTATGTAAATAAAGTCAAGATGGGCACGAGCAAAGAAGATTTTGTCAATGTGAAGAATAGAGAATTAGTTAAGCAATTAATTAATATATTCAAGAATCAATGTACCGCCCCGTGAAAGATTATATAGAAAATAATATTAATTATATATTTTTATATGGAAAGTATCTAAATACAATACGAACTCAATGTAATTAATTACTTTAAGACGAATAATGTTACATCATTGTATTTCTGTAATTTTGTATAATAAATTGGTTTTTATTGTCCTCATTTGTCCAACAATGTTAAAGACTAAATACATAAATGCAATAATTATCGACGGTCGATCAATGCAAGATTAATTCCAATTTTCATATTATCGATCCTCAGTTTACCATAATAATAATGGCATGCTTCTAAACATCGTACCACACAAATCACGAGTTGCTCAAATTTCAGAGGTCAGTTTCTTCAAGCCGTTGGAAGTGTTAGCAACATATTTTCCGAATTATCCTTCAAATCATATTAATTGAAAAAAACTATTCTATTTAAATGATCGTGTGTGAAATTAGTACATAGATATAAAAATTCTATAATTCCGAGCAAAGTTCCAGTTTTCTTTTAAAAAATAAGTTCTAATTATTCCGGTATGTATCAACCCTCTATTCTAAATGATCGTATCAATGAAATCATTAGAAATGTTTCATAAAAGCATAGATTACTGTAAATTGTTAAATAGAAAAAATTATATAAGTATATGTCTCAATTATTTATGCGATATACTTATCAAAGCTTTAACGCTGGTTTATGTTGTCCAATAGAGGTGAAAATAAGAACAGTATTGAATCTAATGACGAAGTCAACTTTAACGAATCAACATTATTATACGAAACCACATGCGCAAAAGTTATTTCTTTTTAGAACATGATTTTATATTAATTATTGAGTCTTTATTTATACCTCTATTGCTAATTACCACATATATATATATATATATATATATATAACATTTTTGATATAATGTAATATAAATTCTTGCAAGTAAAAAAAAGTTTTAAAAATTTCGTTAAGAACTCAATTATATATTCGATAAAGTTTATTTATGCCTAAACGCTGTTTTATGTTGCTTAATAAAGGTAAACATGAGCAACAATCGATCAAAAGAAAAACACAACAATCAACAATTAATGGAATCGTGCGAATTCACATGTACAAGAGTAAGTTCTTTGCAAAATGATCACGCCTACTTATCGCGCCTTTGTCTATACCTATATCGCTAATAATAGCTATATCTTGATTTGCCATAACGCAATATAAATTTGCAAATTTTTTTAAATATAAAAAAAGGTTTTAAGAAATCTATTAAGAACTTAATTATATATTCGACAAGCTTATCTACATTGTTTTATGTTGTCTAATAAAGGTGAAAAAAAAAGCAAAAATTCCAAACAGAAGGATAACTCCGAAGAATCGGGCGCAAATATATCCTCAAGAGTAAGTTCTTTTTAAATCGTGATTACACCTACCTGTTGTAATTCTGCCTGTTCCTTTATAGCTAATTATACATATTGTTTTGATACAATACAATATAAATGCAATATATATTGCAATCGTAGTATAAATTTG